GAAAACATCAGCCTGCAAATACGGAAAAAAACTCAAATTAAAGCAAAGGATGATTTTTCAAAAGCCTTTTTAAAGCCCAGTTGCACTCATTATCACACATTCAAAACTAAAAAACCACGACAAGTACAAACCTGAAATGATTTTCAGAAGCGTATAAAACATCAACAGATAAACCGAGAAAAAGTCATTCGAGCCCGAGAAGCGCTAGATTTTGAGAGGAGCAAAAACTTTTAGCGGGAGCGGCACCATACAAAACACTGCAAACTTCAAAAATTCTAAACTCAAAAACCAGAGCAAGTGGAACTTTGAAAGTTTTACAGCGTAGGCCACAAACATCAAGCTACAAAATTACTGGAAACTAAGTAAACTCTGACTGTTTGAGGCTCTCAAACTAACTGATTATAATGGGAAATTCTCACTTCTTTCAATGCACGCTAATTAAACCCAAATTTGCCATCAAAGAAACTAGAAACTATCAATTCGAACAGCTTAAACCTTGCAATAAAAATGCAATTAAATAAAGTGCACGTAAATGGTAAAAAACGATGAAAAATCTACTTTATTGACAATTACATTGAGCGAAACAATGAAACCAATTTTTTGTCATCGGCCAGGTCGTATTAGTGAAAACATGGAAATTTGCTCGATTTAAAAGCATGTCCGAGTAAAGGCAGTAATTGATAAAACTGGGCAATTTTTCCCATTTAATTGTTGCAGCCGAGTTCAATAGGGCAACTTTTTCATGGGAAATTGGCGCATTTATAATTTTTCGACTAAATTCATTCAGTCAGTCTGAAGAAGCGCGAGTAACGGCATTATTTGTTAGTGAGTGATTATTAAAGCTGATCCATCAAAGGTAAAATTAAACGAGCACCGTTTCCCTTGCAAAGCCGCTCTAGTTTAGAAGGAAAAAATCTATGCAACGAATCGCATCTGAATGCCAGTGGCTTATTTTTAGCCACGCTGTATATTTTTAGAATCTGTGGTTAGTTTGCTGTGTGTTTTTCGGTATGGCCAATAGGGTTTTCAAGAAGACTAATAACTAATAGAAATTCAATGGAAATTGATCAATAAACGCAGTCTAGCTGCAGCGTGCAAACGTGCCCGTCTCCTTGCCCTTGCATATTGAAAGGGAAAGGAGCGTCACAAAGTGAAATGTTTGAACTGCTAGATTGATTTTTCATTGTTATGGTTAAGGTTCGATTGAATATTGTTCTGAACATATGGTGAGTTTTAGTGGAAGCACCCATGCCATCTCGAAAAACTCAGAGTTTCACCTAGAAGCTCACAAACTGATCAGGTGTTATTCTACTGCTAGGCAGGGAAACTATGGCAAGTCCAATGGTGGAATATAACTTCAAAGCGGAAGATCTGGTGAAGGCGGGCAGAACGAGCAGGTACAACATCGACGGCATCAGACAGTGGTTGGACCTTTTGCCGACGATACCGCCCTTATGTGATGAGCAGATTGCGATTTTTCTGATCGCCTGCAAAAACGACACTGAAGCGACCAAAAACTGCATTCTGTGCTTTTTCAAATATAAGGCGGCAGCGCCGGAAATATTCGCCAATCGCCAGGTGGAAAGTGATGAGCTGACCCAAGTGCGCAACACCACGTAAGTAACAGCAACATTTTGGTCCGTTTTCTGACGATTTTTAGCCGAAAAGTGGCCATTTTTGTACATTTGCAAACATCAACATCAAAGCCTACACATTAAGAAAAAAACACTCAAAACCTGAAAGTTTGATTTTACCTTAGACGGAACAGCGCCACTTGAAACCTTTTTATGCTTGAAAAATCAGCGTTGCAAACCCATTTTCAAAACATGAAAACTCGAAAATTAGTTAAAGGAGAAACTTGCCCTGAAAGTTTGATTTTACCTTAGACGGAACAGCGCCACTTGAAACATTTTTACGCTTGAAAAATCAGCGTTGCAAACCCATTTTCGAAACACGAAAACTCGAAAATTAGTTAAAGGAGAAACTTGCCATTGTTACACGAGGCGCAGAAAACTCAAAGCAATGAATTGAAAAAGTCTCAATCAGATTGATACCAAACCTAATTTTTAGGAGTTTTTAAATCTTAGGCTCGGTGTCGCTAAAATAGACATCTGCAAACCTTTATTAAAAATCAAAACTCTAAAACTGGGGCACGCCAAAAGGTGAAATTGCTGCAGAATGAATAGAAAAGACGAATCCGTAAAGCAAGAAAAAATCATTCAAATGCGACAAAACGCTGATCTTTTCAGCGTCTTTCATCCTTAGCCGAATCGGCGCCAAACTAGGCATTTATTTGCAAATCACATAAAGTTAAAATTTCTGAAAAGATGCGTTGAAAACTCACCACTTTTCTAACCGGATCGTCTATCCAAAACTCTGTTGCAGAAATTTAGCAATCATTCCTCAACGAACCAAAGAGAACTACGCCGTTTTAGTGGGCGTGCTTAAAGACACCAGTTACTCCAGCTTCTTCGTGGATCCTCAAGTGAAGCTGCTCTACCTGCTGGTGGAATTGATGCTGCAAGACAATCCCCCGGATGGACTGGTGGTAGTTCTCAATTTGAAGGGCGTAGGTATTTAGCAGTTTTAAAAAGATCCCCCGGAAGAAACCTGCGGATGATTGCAGGTGGGACTGATGCACATAACGAGACTGAAAATCAGCACCGTGAAGAAATTCTTCCAGTTCTTGCAGGAGGCGATGCCGACGCAATTGAAGCAAATTCATATTATCAATTCATCGTACGTCTTCGATAAGATCCTGATGGTGCTGAAACCTTTCATGAATCGGGATCTTTTCGATATGGTAAGAACTCTATGCAGCGCTAATAATCGAATGAAACTGGCCGACTTTGCCGCTTGCAGATTGTTCCCCATTCAAGCAGTGACGACATGGATGCCTTCTATGCAAATCACCTATCCAGAGATCTTCTACCAGCCGACCTCGGTGGCGATCTTCCCAATATCGATCAATTGACCGAAGAAACGCTTTATCAGTGTCGGAAGAGCAGCTCCTACCTCAACTCGTACGAGCGCCAAATTGAAGAGTACCAAGAAAACAGCAGCTAGAAGAAACTACATTCTTGTTCACATTTCTCAACGTGGGTCATTGCTGCAATAAAAAGAGTTTGTTGCAATTGTTGCCCACATGCTGTGTTCCAAACTTTTCGACTTTTGGGTGAATATTGAAAGAATCGAAGGTGTTGCACTTATAAAAAGTGTCACCGATGAACCATTACAGCACTCACATAGTCCAGTTTTACTCAAAAAGTTCACAAAACTCATAATTAACACCCCAAAGTTCATTCAATCTGACCCTAAACGTCACAAATACCCGTTTTGGTTTTTTTCACAATATTCATAACTTCAACACTAAGACAAGGGGAAACTTCAAATTTTGACCGAGAGTGTAGAAAAGGTGAAGCTTCAAGTTCAGGAAAACTCACTCGAATCCAGACGTGAGCTGATTTTTTAGAAGGTTTCTAATCAGGCGGCACTCGCAGTTTTAAACACTTTCAACCAAACTTTCCAATTTTCCAATTAACGCGGCGTTCCAAATTTTCGACTTTTGCCTTAGTAATGTGGGAATGGAAGCTGTTGAACTTTACCAAAATTTGCAGTTCGCTCGGCAGCTCCTTTTACCCATAGAGTCCAGTTTTGAGGCATCCAAACACGCACAATGTCCAGTTATGGC